ATGTTTTGTATTTTTAGTAGAGACAGGGTTTCACCATGTTGACCAGGATGGTCTCGATCTCTTGACCTCGTGATCCACCCGCCTCGGCCTCCCAAAGTGCTGGGATTACAGGCTTGATCCACCGCGCCCGGCCTAAAAAGTGAGAACTTTCTAGAGAGGGAGGTAGCCAGGGTGGGGGGAAAGGCAGAGGAAGTACGAGCGCGGTGGCTCACGCCTGTAATCCCAGCACTTTGAGAAGCCGAGTTGGGCGTTGGACACCAGCTTCGCCAACATGGAGAAACCACATCTCTACTAAAAATACAAAATATTAGCCGGGTATGGTGGCATATGCTTGTAATCCCAGCTACTCAGGAAGCTGAGGCAGGAGAGTGGCTTGAACCTGGAGGTGGGGGTTGCCCATGAGCCGAGATCGGCCGTTGCACTGCAGCATGGGCGACAAGAGCAAAAGTCTGTCTCAGAAAAAAACAAAAAAGGCAGAGGAAATAGGGAGAAAGAGCCCTTGTCATTTCTGATGTGCTGTAGGAACTCCTTTTGTCTCCTTTTTGTTTGTATTTCCATTTTCTTGATTGGTTTGTTCACAAAGCCTTTTTAAAATAACAATAATAATGTACGCTTATTGTAATAAATTATACAATGCTTGGATGTATAAAGAAAAAGAATAGCCTTACAATGGCAGAGGAGGCAATTATAACATTCATAAAATGTACAAGATAGAGTATTGTTTCTTCCTCTTCATTTCTACGTCCTTCCCTGGACCAGGGGCTTGATTGGATTCGAGATGTCATGAATTTTACCTTGTTCATTGCTGGATGTTTCTGCATTACTATAAATACTCTTGAGCTTTGTACTAGGACACAGTTAAGTTCCTTGCAAACAGTTTGAATCTTTCAGGTTTGTTTTTAATATTTGTTAGGCAGGACTAGGGTAGCCTTTAGGTCTGAATTTTATTGACGCAATACCCTTCGAATTATTTTACCCAATACTTGTGAATTATAGGGCTTACCATTCTGACCGTTGGGAACACATTTCAACCTTGTGAGGGCTACAAGGATTGTTGTTCCCGCTGTTCCTTTCTGGTGATTCTTTTCTGTGATTCACGTAGTTTCCTCCCAGGCATACAGTGATCAGTACTCACGAAGATTCTGATGATCTCCAAAGTGCTCTCTCCCTCTCACTCCCTCTCTTTCTCTCCAGCCCTCTCCTTCTGGTACTCTGTTCTGCTGTGTCTAGCCACTCTTTCCTGGACTTCTCAGCTCAAGTTGACCATTGAATTCTACCTGGCCTCCACTTCCTTGTACTGCGAAGGCCTGGAAACTCTCACCTCCAGTGATCTGGGCTCCTAAGTCTCACCTCACCTGTTTCCCTTCTCTCAAAGATCACTATCCTGCACTACCTGACATCCATGTCCAAAACCAATTGTTTCAGGTATTTTGTTGTTTCATTGTTTCAGGCAGGAAGATCAATTTGGTCCCTATTATGCCCCTAATTCCGTGGCCAGGGGACTGGACCCGATTCCAAGTAGGCCAGTTAGGGTCTGTCCCCTGGAACTGGAATTTCACCCATGTGGACAGGAAGCCATAAGAAGTTAGTGTACAGGAAATAGAAAAATGAAGCAAACGGTAGCAAAAAAAAAAAAAAAAAAAAAAAAAAAAAAA